TTTTAGAAAAACTATGCGGGGCGGGGCGGGGCGGGGCGGTTGAATGTGGGTGTGAGTGTGGGGCGGGTGGATGCGGGTGCAAATGCTATGCGGGGCGGGGCGGGGCGGGTTAAAATCCTCGCGGGTTTATGCGGGTTTGCCCCGCAACCGCACCGCACCGCACCGTTTGCCATCCCTAAGGTCACAGATTCGAGCTATGGAATCAGTCACGAATACTCGCATCTGGGTAGGCTGCTTATATCACACCTCCTCGGGTGCGCGGCTCTTCCCCAAACCATGTATATATAAACGCGCGCAGAATATTTTGTGCAGCAGACTGGCTCTAAAATTTGTTCAAAGAGAGATATCATTAGAATGTAGTATATAATAGAGAGAAAATTACATTACTCTATACACAAGAGATTTCATATGGTTATCAAAGTAGTGTGAAAGGGAAATGAATTTCCAACATGTTGTGGTGGAAGCTGGAAAAGCAATAAGAGAGATTCTTGATTTTGGTTGGAAGAATGAGGGCGTCATATTTGCCTAACTATATCTGCTGGTTATTCTTCTGCTTTGGAAATCTTTTTCCATTATATATATATATATATATATATCGAGTTCAAGCCTTAAAAGCTGATAAAGTCATCTTTAACGGAGATCGGCACACTAAACCACCCCCCCCCCCACCCTCCCTCCATATATATATAATGGACTTTTTATAATGCAAACTCTAATTAGTTGAGTCAATAAATTCCGGATCTTGAATGATTAAATCAAATAGATATATGGATCTTTATTTCTAAGGGGGTGCATGATTTAATTGTTGGATTATATATCGCAGCGGAAACAATCACAGTATCATTTTCACGTGTGAATTAAATAATTAGCACATACGAAGATTATTCGAGTTACCTCTTGAAGCGTGAACAACGCAAATCAATATCCGTCTCCAGTTCCGGAGTTGCAAGACCTCAGCAAACTTCCACAGTCTTCTACCGTGTTACCCAAATAATATCCGAAAAGAGAGACTTCGGGTGGGCGAAATTCAAGGAAGAAAAACGCGTGATTTTTCTGTGTAAAAAACGGCCAGCCATATCCCGTGTATATATAGCTCGTTTTTTAGGTTCAAACCCTTTTCCAAAACCTGTTAGGTTTTCTTCTTCCACTAAGGAAATGTTTCCTTTATTTCCTATTATTTAGGCACAGTAAGGACCATAGAATTTAATTAACAAGGCTTCCTATTATGGGATTAATTTCGAAATTTGAAATTAATTTCTTCCATAATAAATTACGAATTATTCCACTAAAAATTCGTAATTGCACTCCTTAGTTCAATTTCGAAATTCTTCCATAAAATCTTATTTAACTCCTCATGTTAAGATTCAGATACTAACCAATCAAATTAAATTACTGACAATTTAATTTATTGACCTTTAGACTTTCACTTAATATATTTCATGTGTGATACAGAATTCACCGGTCGGGTTTACACATGAAAACTTATAAGCTTTCATAAAGGAGTATCATTGATCTCAAAAACCGAGACATGGATTCTATCAACTAATTATTACTTCGCCAATGTATATCATTATTCCTGGAAACAACCTCTCTGCCCCTCGGGGTAGGGGTAAGGTCGGCGTACATATTACCCTCCCCAGACCCCACTTGTGGGATTATACTGGGTTGTTGTTGTTGTTGTTGTTGTTGTAATGTATATCATTATTGTCCAATTTACCAGGCTGATTGACCCACGAAAGAATCTCGCCTTTTAATAAATCAAAATAATAAATGATATA